TTGGGACTACGTAAAGCCACTACTGGTGGCTCGGGAAAGATCGTGTATAATTTCGAATGTTTTCGATTTCTTTCCAATTTTCGTGGATAATATGTGATAATTTGTCAAATTTAGGATGGTAAGTCGGCACAAACGGGACTCTTTTGTTGACCTTTTCTCTTCATATTTTAGGAGTTCATCTCGGCTGATGTTGTTAGCACGAGAGAAACCTCTATCAACATCTTTTCTTTTGTAGTCCCTTCTGTATTTTTTAGGTGACTGCGAAGCTCTTGTAATCGCTTTTTCACAGTATCATTGGTGGAGCAATTTCGCTTTATTCTTATAGCCTGGCTGTAGGGAATGCTCTTTGTGCAGTGTTGTGAGTGACAACTTAGAGGAGATATATATATTATAAGTTACATGCCTTTCTAAATTTATGCATTACATATCGACCGTTTTTTCATGCATTTTAGAAAATATCTAAAATGAAATGTTCACAAAAACTGAGTGAATGCAAATATTGAACGAAAGAGTAGTTATTTTTGATAGTTTTAACAATTACAAATAAATTCCACTGAATTAATTATTTACAATTCCAAAAGGCACTGAACTCAACAAATACTTGTAAAATTTATGTAATGTTTTGATCATTTACACATTTGTCCTGATTTTGTTTGCAGAGACATCGTTTGGCGTTAAACCGGGTCTAACTACTAGCACTACAACCACATTTGGTAAAACCATCACAAATTCAGCTCTGTCAATACTCTTTTTATATATAAAAAGTTAAATCACAAAATACTGAACTTCAAGGAAAATTCAAAACGGAAAGTCCCTAATCAAATGGCAAAATCAAAAGCACAAACACATCAAACGAATGGACAACAACTGTCATATTCCTGACTTGGTACGGACATTTTCTTATGTAGAAAATGGTGGATTGAACCTGGTTTTATAGCGCTCAACCTCACAAACACTTAATATTCTTAAACATCTGTTTTTGCAAACAGCACAAAAATAAATATCTTTATCTATTTACTGTATTCCCAAAAGATTCAAAATAATATTAGCATGATTATGTTGACTAACATGGTAAATACATGGGAAATTTTGTTAAAAACATTTCCATCCCAAGTACCGACTGGGTTATAATGACACTTAACCAATCCGCCAGTAAAACTCATGCTAGAAATAGGAATTTGTTTGGCTGTGCAGAATGCATACATTGTCATTCTTTCCGAATTGGGACTTTAAATCTGGTGTATCATATAGGGATCATCACGCTATATGTATGCTAAGATCTTTTGGAGGGTTAGTGGGTGGCGTATTAAAAGACATCATTTCTGTCCCTATTCAAAATACAATCTTTTCCTTGACCGTTAAAATTCCTGTCCATTATCCTGATCAGATCAAGTCCTAATTATGCAAGACATATTTGCTACAAATTTTTGAAGTAACAGCAATCGGTCAATCAAAATATTTTCATATACTCGGCTCAATAAAACACACTTCTGTTTTGAAAATAGATTCCCTAAACATGTGCTTGTAAATCTTTGTTCTATTGCAAGAAAAAATTGCCCTTCTGCCATAGTGAAATGGGTTTTTGGTCTGACATGTATCTCAACTATTTTTAGTCATTTTGAATAATTTTTGTCAAGGTTAGGCATTTAATAAATTGACTCAAAATTCAAGCATTTTATCAATTGACTCAAAATTCAGGCATTTTACAAAGTAAGCTTAAATTATGTAATGCAAACATGACTTCAAACGATTTTAGTTTTATTTTTTTAAATTTTCAATCTGCGACTATCTACAACATTCACGTGTCTGGATTGATTCAAAATATGAAACTGTTTTCATCAAGGTCTACTTATTTTACTAACAAGCAGACGTTAAATTGGTGAATCGAGTTTATTAGGAAGAACGACTCAAATCACAAGTTCTGCTGTTAATACATAATAATACATCTTATATGAAAAATGTCATGCTATGCTCTTTTTATTATATATTGGTAAAAATATTATTCTATCAAATGATTTACTTAAGAAATATCCATCTCAACTACGCAATTTATGTTGAAAGTCAACAACAAAGGCAGTTACATATATTAAATTGTATTTAAAAAAAAACATTTACCTTAGAATGATCAAACAAACTTATATTTTCTAGAGATTTCACACTAACGGTTTCGAACTTACAACAAATGTATTCAAATATTTTAGACACAATTATATTACTGAAAGAAATATATTTGAAATTTGTGGCACTTTCTTAGAGTATAACAATTTTATATATATATATGTGCCTTTCCAAAGTCAGGAGTCTGTAAATTAGTGGTTGTCGTTGGTTCCTGTTTGTCCTAATTGGTGTTTTTCGTTTCTTGTTTTGTTATAAATCAGGCCATGTTTTTTTGTAGTTTGAATTGTTTCGCGTATTTGTCCTATCAGTGCCTTCTTGTAGCTGACTATAGGGTATGTGTTTTGCTCATTTTGAATGCTGAACGCTGACATATCATGCCTATAGTTGCATAAATTCGCTTCATTTGGACTCTCTCATTGGCAATTATATCACATGTTCTTATTTTATATCAAACACTATAATTGACAATGATTTCGCTGAGTGAATAGGGTTGAAACGTTTTTTTTAATATCGTCCGTTACGTTGCTGTAGGCTGGTACTACTTTCTAAGGTGAATATGATGTTCTTAGGAGTGTCATATATTGTTATAAAACCATTGAATAGTATAACGGATCATGTAGGTATAGATGTTTTCAGTATGCCATTTTTCCACAAATATTTTCTTTTATTCATACCATCATATTTAAATTTACAGCTGCTTATAGTTGTATACATTTTTGTCATTTCCAATTATTTGGCTCAGAGTGATATATGGAAATATTAAAGAAAGGCTTCAAAACTACCAATTTGTAAAGTTTCACTTTGTTCCTGCGTCAACCAGCACACCAGCAAAACTCTGAAAATTTGTACTTACTGGTTAAGCATGTTGGGCCAGTGAAACCATTTATGCAGCTACATTTAGTCATAGATGTTTCGTCGCATCTTCCAGGAAAGCATGGTTTTTTATGTGAACATGTACCTGAAAATGAAAGTTTAGAATAAATTGCCAAATGCTTATGAGTACTGTACCACTCATGGTTTCTTTTCTTTGACTGTTGGTGATATTATCAAACTTTTTGTTCTAAAGAATAAGAGATGATGTTGTAGAGTATCGTGTCATTTTTTTTTCTTGCCAATCGAAAAATGTTTCTGTTAACTAATTTTCCTTCACGCGATCAAACCAACTCTCCGTTTTATGTTTTCGAATCTATAATATGACCCAGTGCTAATTATAGATTGATTTTGCAGTTTGTACATCTACTATTATTTTTCGACATACAAACGGATTAGGTTGCATGTGGAATCATCATTAAAAGAGGCAAAACAGATATCAGTGTAACAGGTGGAATAACATCACCAATTAGATATCCACGGAGGGCATTCGGTATTTATCTCTAAAAGTGGAACATGAAGGTTTGTTTTTTCATGATATTACATATTTGAATTTATCAGGTAAAAAATAGCATGCATGCAAATTCTTGCCTCTATGGAATCAAAACTGTATCGTATATGCCCTTAATATATTTAGATTTCATTATAGTTCGTGCTATCATTTGAACAAGTTTTCTTTTTGATTTATTTCACATTTCGTCATCCCGGAGCCTTTTATAGCTTACGATATGGTAAAGGTTTTGTTCAGTTTTAAAAACCGTACTGTGACCTTACAAGAGCGCAACTATTCGGAATGCGTTTTCCATATTGAACCAGTGATGTTCCATATTTCATTTCTTGGAGAATACACAAAGTACAAAAAAATGGGTAGTAGTTCCTGATTCCTGATATGTTAGCGTTGTATTACAGCCAAAAAAATTGTATATGTTCCTGCGGCAAAAGTTGACTCCAAATGCTGTTGAAAGAAAAACGTCTATTTTTTTTCGCTAAATGGGAAAGGCAATTTTTTAATGGCTCCTTCGTACATAAATTGAATATATTTTTGGAACACTTTGTAAAACAAAAATTTAATTTTACGATTTTTTTTAACCTAAATGGAAAAGCTTTTGATGAAAAATAAATTCCACCAATGTATCACCAAATCAGGAGCCATACAACATTTTATTCTTTCAGAGTACCATCTTTGGTTATAATGCAAACAAATAAACGTGCTCTGGTAACCTGGAATATGTCACATCTACTGTATGTCCTATGGTCTTTAATGGTAAGTTGCCTCATTGGCAAACATATCACATCTCATTTTAGTATTGAACACTCAATTCAATCGAAAATAGCTTTTGATTTGTTGAGCTCGTTTAAGAGTTTAATAAAACTTATAAAAGATTAAAAAATGTTTGATCAGACTTTATGTATTACTTCTGAACTGAGATGCATAATTCAAATAAAAGCAAACTTTTATGATTATTTTATTTTATAGAAGAATATGACAAAATTTAAACAATCGAAACTTGTTAGATCAGGCTTCAACTTCTCAATCACAATACGAAAATATCAAAAAGATACAGACATTAATAAGTTTTTTCTGTCAAAAAGAGTTTCAATATCTAAAATCTCCATTTTTTTGCATTTTTTGTATTTATTTAACTGAATAATAATTAGTCGTAAATAATCAATAGATATAAGAAGATGTGGTATGAGTGCCAATGAGACAACTCTCCATCCAAGTCACAATTTGTAAAAGTAAACCATTATAGGTCATAGTACGGCTTTCAACACGGAGCCTTGGATCACACCGAACAGCAAGCTATAAAGGGCCCCAAAAATGACTAGTGTTAAAACCATTCAAACAGGAAAACCAACGATCTTATCTATATAAAAAACGAGAAACGAGAAACACTTATGAACCACATCAACAAACGACAACCACTGAACATCAGGTTCCTGACTTAGGACAGGTACCGGTGCAAACAAATGCAGCGGGTTTAAACGTTTTAATAGGCTCAAACCTTTACCCTACCTGAAACAATAGTGTAACATCACAACATAGAAAGACACACTATAAAATATCGATTGAAATGGCTTAACTCAATCAAAAGACATAGTAACAAAAAAAAATGAACATATGCTGAACGAATAAATTTGAACTATGACACAATGTAAATACAAAATAAATAAAACAAGGGGGTTAGATGTAAAACAGTATCAGAAAGACAATTAAAACCTTGGACTAAATGCCGCCAAATAAAATAACGTTCACAGGTAAATAAAAATAATTTAGTTGTAAGGTATACATGGAGTACGGAAATAATTTTTACAAAATCCTAGTACGAGAACAAAAGTGAAAATTTATCGTCATACTAAACACTTATCAAAGGTGGTATATATTAAAATAGTGAGACTAGATATAACACTGAATAAGTAAACATTAAATAACAAAAAAACATTATAAATTGTATCAACAAGTCAAATTAAGACGAAAGTACGATTTGAGAGTACTCGCAGCTACTGAAAGCTAGTTAAAAGCCAAACACAATTAATAATAAAAAATCATGCATCAGAGACTAAAATCAACTAAAACACATCACAGGGATTTAGTGTTTTAACGTCATGGACATCCAAAAAAGACATGACTTATAAATTATCTTACCCATTTTGATTTTTTTTTAAATTACTTTATATATTTCACGGACTGATTCCGAACAAGTTATAAGACGGAACATTATTTTTCCTCCTGACATTACATATAATATCGACGTGTTCATCCAAATTTAGGATCCTGGTTGGTTTCTCATGATTTTTGTTTATTTAGGTATAACTATATCCCACTAATAAATCTAGCTATTTACAGATTATCATAGTTAATCCATATGGCTGTCCTTTCTTGTTATAAAGGTGTAAATTATTTTGTAAATGTATACTTACTTTGTTTACAAAATCGCCCTGTGTTTTCAACACGACACTTGCATTGGTTTGGATTAATACAAGTGCCTCCATTAGCACAAGCTGGATCACATATCGCTGGAAAATAAAATGTTTATGGAAATTTTGCAAATAAAGGTAGCGGTTTTCGTAAAATATGCTCCAAATTAAAATTTGTCACAGCTAGGACGAAAGGAAAATAGATAATGCAGAGTAACAAACAAACGTATGCACTTCAAATTCCTCTTGGGCAGTAGATTGATATACTAGATGATGACGAGGAGGATGAAGATGATGAAACAAATTATACAAGTCGAAAGATGTTTAAAAATATATTGATTGATATAAGATGTACACCGTAACATATAAACATGCATATTATACACATATATTGTTGTTTCTTTTTGCAAAAATTTCGTATCATTGCAAATTACTTTACCCTGTTAGATCTACGCAATAGTATTTGTTTTACCTCCACCAGCACGATTTGAACGATTTTGCTGTTGCGAAATCGCGGCAACACCTCCTGCACTGTGTAAACTTCCTTAGACCACTCGGTCACCTAGACTATAAATGAATATAGCTTTCAATTGTCGAATAATTCTTTCCCGTCTGCCTCATCTAGGGTTTTGACATACTGGTAGTACATGATGTATTGTGTCATGTAGATGGATATCTTGCAGACTGCTATTTTTCTCTGCCGTAAAGGATGACAACACTAAGCATCTGATGCAGTAAAACTGGTACAGTTAATTTTATTAGCATCATGCAATCACATCAATATCATTTGATTACGTCTGATACATATGTAAGTATGAATAATACTTAATTAAAGTATAAATCATGTCATTTGTGAGTTTTCTCTACTTTGTGACAACTTTACGACAAACTCTCCATCCTTTAACGTAGCGATATACAGGACTAACACAACGAATTACAAAAACAAAATATTGTCAACTTTGTCCCAAACCATTTCAAGATCTGCAAATTTGCGGTAACAAGATTTTGTTCTTCTATTAGTGCTTATGTGGCATTGTGGCAACACCACTCGCCAACTGTCTTTAGTTAAATTAGTCTTTGTTTGTCGAGTAATTCCTTCATCTAAGATTGTATCTACTGTGACATTAAAATGGAATACCTTGCATGACAGCTGTTTTTGACCGTCGAAAAAGAACGATAAAAGTAGCCACGCATGGACATCAATATCATTTTATTATATACGTCTTAATATCAACAACTTTGCGACAAATGTATATCGGATAACCTATGGTTATACAGGGCTAACACCACATTTACAAATACTAAATACAAATACTAAGCCTGTTTAGCCAAATTGTGACGATATGGGCCTCGTCTTTTAACTTTAGTTTTTAGTTTGGGAACTAGCACATAGAAAACACGTCTTAAGTTAACGACATTTATTACCAGAGAGAGAGAGAGAGAGTAAACAAAAAGGAGTTTCCGGACATCACTTGTTCAATTCCGTATAAACATATGAAACTGAAATACACATATATAATATATATATATCTAAATATATAACATCCCCCGGCAGAAAGAAAATTTCCAATGAATTTTTGCATTTGTGGAATTCACAGCACAATCAAATAAAACTACATGATCAATATTACCAATATATCTTTCTAACTTTCATATGATATAAAGATTCTCTAACTTTCAATATATCTAAACGAACAAGTAACTGGTATGGATAACTTTTGTGGAATAATCCTCTTGTAACACATTGCGGAGTACTACATGCATAGAAAGTATCTTGCTTGTCATAAACGTGACAGTAAATATCATACAAAATACTATGAAATCACCAGAGACCTTACTCTTATTTTGTAGATAAATGCTAAAAGGGATGAAATATACACACATTCAAACAGTCTCACACACACATATACAATATAAGACCATCTCATAATACTCTCACGCACTCGGAAATTCTCATTAACCACTCACAGCAATACTACCTAGGTTATTTGTGATTAACGTATAAAAGTCACTGACAAATATTCATACAATCTCATTTGGTTATCTATGCCTTACTATTCCAGTTTCCATGTTTTGTGGGTTATTAAACGTGTTTCATTAACAGTCAACACTATAGAAAAACAATGTTTATTTCTTAAAATAAAGTGTGGTTTTCTTTACAAAGTCTTGTCAATACGATTCTGTTTTTAACTAATCCTTGCAACTTCGAACATACATTGTTATGACAAATGACATTCAAATACACTTACATAAATCCTAAATTCAAAATGGAAAAGAAACAAAATTTGATATAACCACGTACATATTCTAACTACATGTATTATGTTCAATAAATTTGTCTTTCAAAACCAATTTAGGCTAACTGCCTTCAAACTCTAATTAAAGCTTCATTACAAAAAAAAAACAACATGTTAATCAAACAAAATTATTCGTGTTATTAATAGTCAATACAAAATACCAAATACGATATTTCAATAATCATATTAAGTAGTCAAAATGTAAGTGATGCCGAAATAATAAAAAAACCAATGCATAATAATACAAAAAATACTTAAGGAACACACAATAAATGTCCATATATGTCTTTGTTGTTTTTGTTCTCTGGTCTTTATTTACTGACACTGCCAATAACATGTACTCGTAAGACGGAAGTTGCAGTTTGCCGGATATCTTACTATGAGATAAATCTCACAAATAAGTCTTAATGAACACACTGAGCTACTTATTGAAGAATAAGATACCGACAGCACTAATAATAACACGAGATAAATCACACAGATCCTGAGGAATTCCTTATATGTGAGTAGATATTCCAAATTAAGATGAATTTCACGTTGTACATAGCTACTTTATAAAATAGTCTTGAGAAAAATCTCACAGACAAATAGTAACTTGTCAATATATATATAAAGTTGTATTGCACATGTACGAGTATAAAGCGTGGACGCTAATTAAATGAAGATGATGTTTGGACACTATTTCCATGATGATATGTTAACATAAAACAACCTACTGAATAAAGAAAATATGTTTAATCTAGTGGCGGAGGTCTAGATTTCAATTTGGCCTTTGCTTTCGGTCCAAGCTGATTTTCCTGAAACCACATAGCGTTCACCAACTATATGAGCAAGATACGATCTATTTCCGTTTATAATTTAAAGTGCTAGAAATCTTTTAACTTTTAATTGACTTGCAGACGTTGATTCGCTAGACACGTCAATTTCACTAAAATTAATAACATTCTGATCCTTGAACCTAGCTGGTAATTTCTTAGTTCGCTTTGGGCGTGACATGGCTTTATTATTTTGAACAAATAAAATATTGTCTGATTTGCGTGTATTATCAGCGTCGGAAATATTATCTGATAAATTCTCAATATGCAAAGACAACGGAAATTGTTGTCTTTTTCCATACACTATTTCAAATGGCGAAAATCGAACACTTTGGTTTGGAGTATTGTTCATCGAAAATACTATTCCCGGTAATACGTCCTCCCATGGTTTTCCTTTTACAAGAAACGTTGTTAGTCTTTCAGACAAAGTTCTGTGAGGTCTCTCACAAGCTCCCAAACAGTGATGAGCGAAGCTGAGGGTATATTCCTGAATAATATCCAATAAATGACAAACTTCTCTGAAACATTTACCATTAAAATTCCGATCCGTGATCACTTATGACAAACTCCAAATTGCGTGACTAACTTACAAAGAGCATTTCCGACTGTTAACGGATCAGTGTATCGGTTCTGAAAACATGTATTTACTAAATAAGTCAATTGCAGTAAAAAAAAAAAGACACAGGGACGGGTCCATATTGAAGGTCCATTTCCCAAACTTCAAATGGTGCACACGGCGTAGGAAATGATGTAATAACAGCTTTTGTTTTTAGTGTGGTATTTTTCCTGCTTTGACATTCATGACATGATCGAATATAATCAGTTACTTTTTCACTCAAATTCGGAAAATAGTACTGTTCTTGGATCAAATCAAGAGTATTTTGTATACCGCAATGTCCGTCTAACGTTGAATCATGATGTAATTCAATTATTGTTTTTAGTGAAATTTTGGAAACAACTAGCTAAAAATTATTCATTGTTTTTGAACGGGACTGATTTCCTATTTCGTGTAACTATGAAATAATATTTCATTGATCGAGTGAAAATTTGGTATTAATAAAAGAAGTCTGCGCGCTTCTTTTTGCAGCTTTGGTAGTTAGTTTCTTTCAAGATATTGAATCAACGGTCTGCAGAATGCGTCATTGCGCTGCAATTCATGTATTGAATCGACACTAAATCCCTTTTCCCGAAAAATGTCAATCGATGTCAAAATATTTACATTTGAATCACTATCAATACCAGTAACAGAGTCTCGTTTTTTTTGTGTAATTGTTAGTGATTTCATTGTCACTCGTATCATTGTAACTAGTATGCGTATCATTAATGTCAGTACTTTGTTCAAATATTTTGTCCGAATCCTGTATATTATCACTTGGAGTGCTTTGATTAAATATTTTGTCTGGATCTTGAATATGAGAACTTTCAATGGTTTGATTTAAAAATATTGCATCACATTGAGAAGTAGCACTATCAGTACTTTGATCAAATATTTGATCCGATTTAAGTAAATTAGTGGTTTGAGTGATTTGTTGACATACGCTGTCTGACTGGTTCAACTGACCCGAAATCGACATTTAAGTATGTTTTGAATCAAAATCGGTCAGTTTATCTTTACTATTGATATCCAAAGGTTCCGATTCTTTCGGTTTATGTTTCGTTGATACATGTATATACTGTTTATTAATGTCTTCAATGTCGGCATCATATTCATTTTGTGCCTGTAACATCACATTATTGAGAGGAAGACTATTAACGACGGTGTACATCGGAACTGGCGCAGGCAGACAGATATTGTTCAGTTGTAAATTTTTACTGTCGCTAGTATCAGAGTCACATAATAAAGGGTCAATTGTATACATTGTACCTCCTGGAACAATAATTTGTCCTGTATTTTCCGGTTCATATGGGAAGTACGGATCTTTCTCGTCCTGGCTTTAAAATTTTTTACTAGTCTCTTGCGTGCATCGGGACAAGGCATCCGGAACTTGCATTTCCCTTGCAGGCTCGTATTGAATTTCAAAAGTATACTGCTGCAAAATAGCAATCCATCGCTCATAAATGGCGCCTTTCAGTACGTTGCTAAACAGCGGTTTCAGCGCCTGGTGGTCGCATTCTATAACAAACGACTTGGTTCGTAGGTATAATGAACATTCTGGAACGGCTGTAACCATGCCAAGTAATTCCAACTAGTTTTGTTGGACCATATGATTTCTGCCATTTACTAAGTGCCTTAGATCCGAATCGTATAACACGAACTTCATCAATTTCATTAATTTTCTGATATAGCACGTAACCAATCCCCTTACAACAAGAGTCTACAGCAAGTCTAAAAGGTAAATTGAAGTCTGGAAAGGCCAGAATAGGAGAATTCAGCAGGAGTAATTTAACATTCTGAAATGCACGTTGTTGTTCATCGGTCCAGCTAAAACGTTCATATTTCTTTAAACGTCTAGTCAGAGGGTTCGTAACTCTTTGACAATTTTTGGTATAGGATAATCAACGATGGCTTGAACACGGTCCGGTGGCGGCTCAATTCCTTTATTTGAAATTTTATGACCCAAGTATATACAAGAGTTCTGAGCAAAAGTGCACTTTTTGGGTCCTAGCTATAAACCTGCATTCGAAAGTCTTTGAAAAACGTTCCGAAAATCTTCAATATGCTGAACTAATGTTTCGGATGCAACAAGGATATCATCAAGATAGCACAAACATGATTTAAAAGTCAATCCTTTAAGCACTTTGTCCATCAACAGTTGAAAAGATGCTGGAGATGAGCTCAGTCCCA